AGAACTTCACCACTTCCTAACCCTAAATACTATAAATTAACTGGCTTCAATCGTGAGTTTTGGATAGACATGTTCTCCACTCATGACCATAACTGCCCAGTGTTCTTACCTCCAGACCATAAGGACTGTCTCTACATTGAAGCACAACTCTTAAACTCTACCATCGCAGTATTGTAAATGACCACATGGGCTTCGCCCTTGCCGCTAGCGGCTTATTTTTATCACGAATGACCTCATTGCTGACAAAAATAAATGACCTCAGAACTTCAACTTACGAATAAAGCTTGTTTTAGTCGTTATTGAGAAGTTAAACTTCTCTTCAAAGCAAGGTTGACATGATTTACATAAGTCGAATGCAATCTCTTGACCGTCATAAAGTGCTTTATATAACTTCATAACACTGAACTCAGAGTCTTTGTCAAATTTTCCTTGCGGAACCATTAAACCTTTATCTTCATCATAGAAACACTGAACAGAGTCAGGAAACATTTCATTAGCGGTTAAAGCAATAACATCTTGCTTCACGCCTTTCATTCTGCAGTGAAATGCAACTTCATTTAAATCATTCGTGAGTAAGTCTATGTAAGTCTTCTTTCCACAAAATATTGACTTGTATGCTAAACTTTGTTTTCCAGGTGTTATTTCTGCGAAGTCAGAATGAAATTGACCAAGGTTTTTACCAATGAGAACTCTTCCATAACGTTTCTCAAACTCTTCAGCTAAACGAGGGATATCTTCGTTGTAGAGATGCATACTGTCCGTATCGCTATAAAAGATGTCCATTCCTAAGTCCTCAGCAGTACAGAATACTTCACACATTATTCTCTTCGACATAGACAGAATGTTAACACCAAGTGGACAGAAGTTAAAGTGTCTGCAAATGCTTTTCGTTAGCTTGAAAATAGTTTTATCTGAACCATCCAAACCTTCGAACTTCACTATATGGTTGTAGTTTCTGATGGCATATCTTATAGCATCTTTGTCATTTACTATGGTTATTTTTGACTCAATAGGAGATAGAATAGTTTTGCCATAAATACTGTTCAGAATGAGCTTTATATTTTCTTGCAAAGGATTTCCTTCTTTCTTATACTTTAACCTTAACTCAAACAACTTCTTTACTTCATCTCTTATTCTAATATCTCTGTTTCCATCGTAATAGTATCCTTGCAACACTTCACATTTGACACCTTGATATTTTATGAGGTCTTGTAATGTTATATGGTCAACATACATTAAACAGCAAGTGTTTGAACTTCTGGGAACGTTAAGTTCTGGATTTAGTTCAGGGTCACAAACTATTAAAGGAAAGTGTCTATGTATTCCAATCTCTGTTATCTTAATGAGAACAAAGAAGCCGGACATAAACTTTTCACCAATGGGTTCCTTTTGGTCGTCATCGAATAAATGTCTCATGAGATACTCTGTGCTTAACATTTCTTTCTTCATAACCTTTGGAATACCTTCTAAAGTATAAAGTCTTGCTATAGCTGATGGATATAATGAAACAGCGTCGAAATCAGCAATGTGTTTCTTTTCGCTCTTTTGTTTCATGTTATCTGACAGCATACATCTTCCACCTTGAATACAGCGTGAAATAAATTCTCTTGGTTTATTTGAGAGGTCATATAAATTTCCATTCGGGAAGTACACTCTGTTCTCAAATAATTTGTTAGCAATTGAACAAATACTAACGTAGTCATAAACGTTTAAATCAAATTCTTTCAATATGTCATTGCGGAACTTAACAAAACCTTCTCTTAAAATTCTTACATCTTGTTTGCAATAAAATGTGCTATACTTTTCTAAGTCGAAGTGGTTCTCATCTATTCTGCAACCTTTGATGGAATCTATGTTTTTCATGAATGTATCTGCATCCCGGATAAACTTACATGCTTCAGAAATGACACCAGTTCTGTTGTCATTTGCTAACAAAGTACTGCTGTAGTAGTTATATGGAAATACTTTTTTCGGTCCTGTTTGTAAGTTAAACATAGCAGGAAATAGTTTAAGCTTCTTATTTATAACAGTGTAAGAGTCTTTTATAATAATTGCCCTTCCTTTATATAAGCCAGTTATTTGCATTGTTCGTGAACCTTTAATGATGGGAGTTCCTTTCACTTCTGTCATGTGTCTTAAGATGAAGTTTATATCATAACTGAGGTTATGGAAATATATTAAACTCTTGTCAGGAAGTCGTTCCAAAAATTCTGTTGCACAGTTCTGACCCCAAATGCTTTCACTCATCGAACCATCTTCACTGTCATAACAGATGTTAAAAGCTTTATGAAAGCCGTCTGTGCTACACTCAAAGTCAGCAAAGAAAACGTGCTCAGGAATGAACTTGCACTTATTTTTATTTACTTCTTTTGACTCGGCTTTCTTCTTCAGTTGTACACAATACTTTGGAGCATATGACAAGTCTTTAAATGGTGCAAGGTTCTGTTTATATAAGTCAGTAGTATATGTGAAAAGTTCTCCATAAGAAATAGGTTCGAAATATTTGCACTCCCACAATGTTTTCATAACATCCCATAACGGTGTTGTTCTATCATAACGAACTACATATTTGTTCTCTCTCTTTGTATATATCTTCATCTGTTTCTCAATGTTCATTCCACCACACTCCTTCAAGATTTCTATATAGTTGCGAATGAAATATGTTGTCATTGATAATCTTTCATTTAGCATGTAGTGGTCTTCAACAAGAAGTAAGTCAATAGTTCTAACAGTTTTACATTCTTTTGGTATGTATCTCTTTATTTCATTATGTCTTGAGTCATTGAAATAACCAATGGTAACATTAAATGCTATACCTGTTGCGTCAGAAATTTCTTGTACTTTACTTTGAGGAAAGTCTCTAACACGAATGACTTCTCTCATGTGGTCAATAGTCTCTCCATCTACTCCAGCCTGAATGCAAGCATAAACGAAACAATTGTCTTCTGTCATAAGTGCTGCAGTTCTTTTGTTCAATTCATTGAAGATTTGGTAGCGCTCAAGATTTATAGGTAATGTGCAAAGATACTTCCAGAACTGACCGCTTCTCTTCTTATAAAACTTCTTTTCACCATTATCTTTCCAAAAACTTTCTATAAGTGCTGGGTTTCCTGTTTGCTTAAGAGCTTCCAAAATGGCTTTCTGGTCATTTGTCAGTGTGCTTTCATCTCTATATGGTCTCTTTTTTGGTTTGCCTTTCTTTACATCTGACATCGTTAAGCCTTCATATTCTGTTAAATCATACATCTTTATTTCAGTAAGATTCTTTATGTTTGTCAAGAAAAAGTCATAGTGCATTTCAACAATACCTGCAGCATTTGCTTCTATCTCTGATATAAAGTTCTCCTTCAAGAGCTGATGTAGTAATGTTCCAATATTATTGAGGTTTAACGTAGAACATTCATACTTTCCACCAAGTTTATAACATACCATCCATCTCTGTTGTGAGTTTATTTTAATTTTCTCTAAGAGTCTCATGAAAACCTTACCTTCTAAAGCTTCGATGTTAAAGTCAATGAGTCTATTGCCTGTCTTAACATTCCTCTTCCTATTCTCTTCATCTTTCTTTAACCATCTCTCACCTTCTTTTGGTTTGTCGTCAATGGAACGAATGACATCGTTAGCTTTGCGAACTTGTTCTATAGCACTTTTAAACATCTCTCTTCTCTGTTGTTTCAGTGTGTCGTCTCTTCTTCTTGTTTCACCAACGTTTGCATTTGTTATGTCAAACATTTCTCTTCTTACTTCATGAGGTACTGAACGTCTATGATATAAGTCAATAGCAACGTCATTTAAAGGAAATGCTCTTGTGGACTTCGTCCTCGCGCGTTGCGGCTTTATGAACTCATGAATTCTATCATAACTTATTAGCACCATTATAGTCATTGAGGATGTCAGCGAGTGCTTTTTTGTTTGTTGCGTAATGCTTTGCAACATCTATGTTAGCTTCTGTAAGAAGTTGTTTTATTTCCGAGTGTTCTAACTTAGACAACTTCCGATACATCTTTAGTAGGAAATAAAAAAATATTTTTTGAAAAAATTAGATTAGATTTTTTTAAGTTATTTTTCAAAATAATTTAATATTTTTATTTTAATGAAACACATGCAAGATTGCAAGTTCTTTTCATACAATGCTCTCGCTACTGTCATCAAGAATGAGTTCAATAATGCTTCAAATGTTAATGTTATCTTTAACAAGAAGTTTGTGAAAGAATCTAAGTTTGGTCAGTATGTCAGACCATTAGCTATCGTCATTGACCGCAAACGTTATACTTCACAAGAGTTAGCAGTAGTTTTGAAACAAAAGAGTTTCTTCGTGAATGTCAAAGATACTCATTATACTGTCATAAAGAACTCCAACATTGACTTCTTCAGTATTGCTTTAAATCTTTCCGAACAGAAAGAATATAAGAAGGGTGAAACATCTGTGAAATATTATCCTTCATCTCTGAAGACAATAACGAACAAAGATGTTATACAGAGATTCTTACCAAAGGTTGAAGAAGCTTCTATTGACATTGACGAAGGAAGTGAAATGGTTGAAGAAATAGACCCTGAAGCTATTTAAGCAAAAATATATTTTTGAAGAACTGAAGGTGTCACCACGTCACCATGTCACCAGGTTAATTAACTTCTTTTAAAAATGATGACAGCATGACATTTAGACAACAGGTACGAAAGGAGGAAGGCATTTATGAATTATTTTTGAAGAACTGAAGGTGTCACCACGTCACCATGTCACCAGGTTAATTAACTTCTTTAAAAAATGATGACAGCATGACATTTAGACAACAGGTACGAAAGAGCGAACAGCATGATGCTTCGTTAATGTTATTGTTAATGCTTACAGTGTCGAACATAATTGACGTAGGATTCATGACTTCTTCGTAAATGAGTGTAAATATAGCACAAAAATATATTTTAGGTGAAGAGGTGATATAGCACCCGTTTTTTCACCTCTTTTTTCACCTCATTCTCTCTTCGTTAATGTTGTCGTGACTTCATTCTTCCTCTTTGAAGTTGTCGAAATATTCTGTTATTTTTTCCTTCAGTAATGGTAAGTCTTCTTTGAATGTAAGTATTGTGCAACCTTTGATGTCATAGTGTGTTTGAGGAAGAGTATTTTTGACAATTTCCTTTATTTGTTCATTCGGAGTCATTGAAATCGGTAAGTTTTCACAATAGAACCAGTTTCTGTCAGATTTATATATTTTAGCTAAGTCATAAAAGCTCTTGTTGTTTCTTCTGACTAAATGCAACATAACCATATCTTTATCTTCTTCTTTCTCCAACTCTTCAGTATAAATCATATACTTATAACTCTTTTCCTTTCCTTTTGGTACTGAACGTGGTATTCTTTTCTGTATGCTTTTGTCTTTGGATTCAATGACTTCATCTTTTGCATGAAGTTTCTTTTCCATCTCTCCACGTTCTGCTTTATATAGTTCATCTAACATCATGAAAATATAACAAGCATAACGAGGTGAAGCCCACATTGCTACAGCGTTTACTAAAAGTCTATGAACATAATAACCTTTCAAACCAGGAGCCAAATTCTTGCGATTTTCGTACGGAATCTCTTCTCTCGGTTTTCCGAGGGAAGCAATCATATGAGGAAATTCTTCTAAAAGTTCTTTTGTCTGTTGGTTTTCAAACCAATGATATGCTTGCTTTGTAGAACGAAGAGCATTCATTATACTTTGCATTTGGTACATATCGTCTTTGACCGAACGAATGAGGCGAAGTTGTTTGTTATACTGTATGTACTCATATTCTTCATTTATGGCTTCATGAACGATAGCAGTTGTTGTGTTCTCTGATGTTGACATTACTGTCTTTACATACAAGATAAAAATTTTTGTTAGAAAAAAATTAGCGTTATTTTCTGACTTTCACAAAAGACCAAAAATAAACGCTTTACATGTATTTTTCAGCAACTTCGTCAAATAATTTTATAGCTTTATCTATCTCATCTACTTCAAACGTTTCTTTACCTTTCGTGGGAGCACCATACATTTTCTCAAAAACTTCAAGCAGTTCTGTTTCAGCAGCTCTCATATCATTAACAAACACAACCTTGACTCTATTGACTGTAGAGTCATATCTTTGAGTTATATTATATGTCCTTCCTATCTTATATCTTTTTGTGTTGAAGTCCTTCGGTTTCTGAACGATATAAAGTAAGCCTTCACTGCAACGTTCTGAGTCGAATGAACCATATGTTATGAAGTTATATCCAACAACTGGGTCTAACCATAACAAAACTATTGGTATAAGACTTTTGTCTATAAGATATGCTCTTGTTCCATGAAATGCTACTGATATCATAAGCTCAGGATTTCTTGTCAAAATTTTCTGAGTTGAAGCATTTTTAACCCAGTCGTTTGTTTTCTTTCCAGATGGAGATATAATGTCTGACAAAGAATATTTGTTGTATTTCTTTGAGTATCTTACGTTTAAATCACCAATTCTAACCACTTTGGTGTCATTGTCTATCTTTCTAACTGTTTCAAACTCAATGTTTGACATTACTGTCTTTACATACAAAATAAAAATTTTTCTTAGAAAAAAATTAGCGTTATTTTTCTAACTAATGAAATTCATGAAATTTGGTCATTTTTCAGCAAAAATAATGTTTAGGTGAAGAGGTGAGATCTCACCTGTTTTTTCACCTGTTTTTTCACCTCTTTTTTCACAAGCGTTTTACATGAATTGTACGATGTATATTTGAAATCCTAAACAATTTCGTAGCTTCAATTTCTTCTTTTAGTACATCGAATGTTTTAATCGTGCCGAAAGTCTCTTTATATTTCTTCTTGACGTCAGACAGAAGGAAATCTTCTGCTGTTGGATAGTTTTTATTAAGAAATGTCAACATATCCATTTTATCTTCTGCTGGCTTTTCTGCTTCTTTCTTTAAGTCTGCATAGTCGTTTCGCATTCTTTCTATCTCTTTGACTGAGTAGTTATATTTTCTTATTGCTGCTTTACATTTTGAACATTGCGGCATCGTTTTTGCGTTATACATTGAAACATTACCAGCTAAAACAACTAAAGCGTCAATTGCTCTCTTCATCTCAAACATAGCGGGTCTTATTTGTTCGTTCCATACTTTGTCTCTTCTATCTTTATCTCTTATTTCCCAAACACATTTTGCAACTAATGAAACAAAGTTATCGTATGTCTTAAATTCTTCGGATTTATATATGTCAGAAATATTTTTATAAACCATGTCGCAATCTTTGTCCATAACTTTATGGTTGCAATGAAAACCAAGGAATTCATAATTTACTTTACGTATGAATTTCTTTATTTCTACTGAGTCAGTTGCTTTGACTTCAATTTCGTCGAATTCAGGAATAGTTAGTTTTTGCTGCTGAACTTCAGGTAGTTTAGGCAAATGGTCAATAATATCCTGCATGTCATAAAGATACTGTTCATTTGTTTCATCTTTCGCACTACAGTCTAAATTACTTGTTAAAAGTTCTTGCTTTATCTTCTGGATTTCTGTTTCAAAAGTATATGAAGAAGGAATAAAGTTTTTCATCTCTATCAACATTGACGTAGGATTCATGACTAACGAGTTTGGTGCTGTAGTTTGAATTGTTGTTGTACCGATTGTTGAAATCATATCTTTTATACAAAATAAAAAAATAAATAAAAATAAAACTAACTTTATTTTTTCTATCTTAAGGAAATTCATGAAAATTCGTGAGGGTGAAAAAACAGGTGAAAAAACAGGTGAGATCTCACCTCTTCACCTAAACATTATTCATGTCTGATTTACATCTAATGAAAAAGTTTAGAAGAATTTTCTTATTCTTTCTGGCTTATTTTTGTCTTTCCAGTACTCCCGCTCTAATGGTCCCAGATGTGTTGGCTTTGACTCTCTCAAGTTCTTAGATGGTATAACATCTTCAACGCCTCCTTCATATCTTACTTTATAAGTGTCATCGTTTGTGTTGTAGCCAAGTATTTCAATAACCACTCCTCGCTTTGCTTCGTCAATGGTTTCAGCACGTTTGCCATTACTACTTTCAACTAATTTCTGACGAGGATAAAGCGCAATAGAGTCGTCGGCAGCTTTTATAAGATATCCATTACCTTGCGTAGAGTCTACGATATAATAGTTTCGACTTAACCTTAAACGTTTCTTTGTCAACGGTTTGTCGTCAAGAACTACACGAACTTTTGTACCAGGAATGAGGGTAAATTGTGTTTGGCTTCGTTTCTTTTGTATATACTTTTCTTCTTGTTGTTGTGTCATTGAATTTGGTGTATGTCCTGTTGTAGAATGTGTTGAGGAATTATATACTTCGAGAAAATGTTTCATTGTTTCTTCGGTAAAGTCTCGCTCTTGGTTTAAATCTCTGAGCGTTCTTATGAAGCGGTTTATGATGCCGAGTATGTTATGGTTATGGTCTTCAGTAGTGTAGTGAGTTATGTTATGCTTAATGAGAAAATCTGTGATTTCATTGCTGAGGTATGCACTGTCTTGGTCTGATGTTAAAGTACTTGGGCTATGTTCTGCTACGAACGTCTGCAAAACTCTTAAAACTTCTTTTGTTCCTTTATTTTTCATTATATACGCAAAAGCTTTACGAGTGTTAACATTAATGAAGATGAGGAATGGTTTATGTCCTCCTTTTCTGCTTTGAATGAGAGTGTCAAATTGGTATGCGTCAGAAGTGTTGGAGTAAATTGGTAAAAAGTAGTCGTAAGGGTTTATTTTTGTTTGATGTACAACATTTTTGTCAAAGAACCTTTTCACTTCAGCTCTGTTAGTAAATCCCCAACTCTTTGCTGCTTCATTGAACTTCTTAAATGACCTCCATGGATGTTGTTCGAATACTTCTTTCAAGCTCATTTATGTAAAGTTAAAGATTTTATTCTAGGCTCAAGCGCGTTCATTGAACGCGGTACCATGCAAATACAGTCACAAATGGTGGCATATAATCTGCACCCGAGCCTGTTGGATTTGTTGTGAAAGTGTGTGAATGATTTCCTGCGGTTCCACAGAAAATACCTGCGCTTGAATCTACTGGGTCACTTGAAATATCATATCTATGCATTCCCTGTCTATCCGAACCTGCTGCAAGATTTGTATAACCTCTTTTTGTTATTGAATGTGAATGACTACCTGTTGTGTTTGTAGTTCCTGTATGAGTGTGCGGTGGAAGGTTTGCTTCTTTAATTTTCTTCGAACCTCCTGTTTGCTTTGAAGAGTTAGCACAGTATAAGAATTTATCTACAATCTGCTTCCACGTACCCTAACCTAAAACTGTTTCTGGATTTGTTGAGTTCATTGACGTATAAATAGAACCAACAGGATATAATGTTTGAAGTATTTCAGTCTTTAATGTTTGAAGCTCTGTTTTGTCTGCTTTCTTATCATATAAATCTTGAGCAGTGAATTTAACATTATTTTCATCACCCATGACATAAACATTTTTACAGCTAATTTTTTTTTCGTTGTTATGTTTTCATTCGATGTTAAACCTTGTGGAAAGTTAGGAGGTTTACAATATAATGCATCCCCATCAGTTCCGTCAACCGTTCCTTCAATACTTTCTATAGCAACAGTTGAGAAGGAGTTATGTGTATGTTCTTTGTCTGCTTTCTTATCTAACATTGCTGATAGTTCATATGTTTCAAAGTTTCTGGCATGATCTTCAATATTCCTGCAACTGTTATCTAAATTGTTTAGTGTATCTTTTACACTTGTACTTGGATTCTCTAAAGGTGCACTTGAACCAAGGGTATAGTTCAATATTATGTCGTCTGCTCTAACAGTAGTGAAGGAGTTATGTGTATGTTCTTTGTCTGCTTTCTTATCTAACATTGCTGGTAGTTCATGTGTTTCAAAGTTTCTGGCATGACCTTCAATGTTCATACATTTACTATTTAAGGAGTTTAGTGTATCTTTTACGCTTGTACTTGGATTCTCTAAAGGTGCACTTGAACCAAGGGTATAGTTCAATATTATGTCGTCTGCTCTAACAGTAGTGAAGGAGTTATGTGTATGGTTCTTGTCGGCTTTACTGTCTAATGTAGCTTGAAGTTCATTTATATCGGAGATGTTGTGTTTATGAGATTTCAAAACTTTGTTCGTTGCTTCAAGTTCAACTTTGTCAGCTTTACTTTTAATAGCATCTTCAAACGTTATTTTTGCCTTAACTCTCAAAGTAAATCTTGGTTCAACTAATACACCGTTAACATTGAAAGTAGAGGCATAAATTTCACCGGTATAACCAAATGCTTCTGGTGCTTTAGCTACATCATACTGTACAGTACAGCTTATGTCATAACCTTTAGCACGAATGTATTTATATCTTCTTTCATTAACATTTTTTGTCTTCGCTTCATCACTTCGTGTTAAATATCCATGGTAGTCCGTTATAATCTGTTCGTCTGAAGTTATATAATGAACGTGGTTCTTGACTTTATCACTCAGAGCTAAAAGCTCATTTTTGTCTGCTTTTTCGGCTAATTTCTCATTAACATCATTCACTTCTAATTCAACTCTTCCGCCAGAACTCTTATTATCATTAATCTTTTTCATTAATTCGGTAATTACGTCATAAAGACTATATTCTGTTTTCGGTTTTGTAAATAATGAGTCAAAATTTCTTTTCATCATTACATCGCTGACATTAATGATATCACCAATTCCTTTTTCATTTATTCTCTTCATTAATTCTGCAATAATGACGAATATATAATCTGTTAATTTATTCTCTTCATCGAGGGTTATAGAATGTTTTGAAATTGAATCATTAACTCCTCTAAATAAATCAATAACTTCAGGATACACGTTTTTAATGTCTCGAATAACCCGACCAGTATCCTGTTGTTCATGTTCTTCGTTCCCGTCGTTACGTGGTTTTATATCTCTAACCATCATCAACGCAGCCATAACCGGAGGGTTTGTTGCTATCTGTTCGAAAATCCGTCCGTTATGTACGGTATATCTAAATAATTTCTTTGTGTTTGTTAAAACATTTGAAACAAGTCTTTTAAAACCATCTACAAAATTTCCTGTTTCACCTAATGTTCTTGCAGCATTTACAAGCTCACCCATTCCCGCTTTTGACCCCAAAAACGTCCATATTGCATTTATTTCACTCTGTATAGTTGTCCATTCAGCGAAACTAACACCCGCATTCGCTAAGCTGAAAATGAAATTCAGTGGATCGAACTTAATTCCACCTTCTTTTTCAATTTCAACGAACTCACTAACATGAGATTTTAAGTATTCTTTCGTTAAAATTGTTTTCCCCGATGTTATGTCATTAACGAAACTATCACCGTCAAAAGTTAACGAATTCAATTTCGTCGTTGATGCTTTTATTTCATACACCGCTTTATCGATAGTTTTTGGCTCACCTTCTTTAGAAGCATATGAAACATTAATGAATGAATTATATGTATTCGTGAATGAATTAAAATCAATGATTTTCATTAATGACGCCTTTAATGATTCATTTACTGTCGAATCCCTTAAAGTAATTAATGAACTGTCATTTATGAAAGGTACACTGCAAACCGTCGAGTTTGGATCAAATGCTGTAGTTGGTGCAGGAATATTAATGATATAAGTCATTAAATCATTAAGTGACGTAAATAATGTTGTCGTTTTTGATTTAATTTCTTTAGCATCTGTTATATATGGTAATTTTATTTCTGTAGTTTCTGAATTAAAGATATTCGCTAAAATGTTTTGTAAACTGTTTTGAACAGCTGTGTAAACCGTTGAATCCGGAACTCTTACGATTTCACCGTCCTTAATAAAAGGCATTGCACATGGTGTAGTGCTTGGGTCAAATCTTTTTGGGTTATGATTCAACATATATTCTAATGCTTCATAAACAGACCTATATACGGTTGTATTATCTTTTTCAATAATTTCACCGTCCTTTATAAACGGCATAGTACATGGAGTTAAAATAGGGTCAAACTTTTCATAGTCCTTCCATGTTATGTATTTCTCAGTATTTCCATCAGTGATAACAATATATTTGTCAGTAAGTGTGAGAGAGTATTGACCAAAATATAAACGTTTAGCTCTGTCAGCTTCATACGCATATGCAGCTATACTCATATTTTAATGAGAATAAAATGTTGTTCTATTTGCAAAGTACAGACCCAAACGAATACGGGACAGTAAAGCTACAAACAAACTTAGGTCTACAGAATGAGGCGCTTGCATTCAGAATGGTTGACTTCAATACTATCGCTTCATTCGTTATAACAGATGAAACAGATTTCATGGAGATTGAAATAGATGGAAAGAAGCACGAAATAAGATTTCACAATAATGTAGAATATAAGATGGAAACATTAGCTGGAGTGTTAAATGCTCTCATAAATACTACAATAAACAAGGATAACGAAGAAAACTTAATGAATGTTAAACTTATTGCAGGAGTTTTGAAGTTCAGTTATGCGAAGGAGTTTAAGATAACACGAATGAGTCATAGAGTACAACTTCTTTTGGGTGCATACCATATGACATTTCCTTTGAAAAGTGTTGACAAAACGATTGAGATGAAATCTGTTCCATACGTATGTTATGGTAATTGTTTATACATTGAGTCTAAAATAGCTAATGTCACAGGCATTTCAGGAGTTAATAGTAAAGGTTCAGTAGAATATAAATCCTTCTGTTATGCAGTCAATTCAATGTTCATTCCAAACGTTCCTGTCATAGCAACTCATTTAGGTAAATGGGTTCGCATTAGTCCTCATAATTTGAAAGACATGCAATTCAGACTTGTTGACTTTCAAGGAGAGCCTGTAGAACTGAAGGCACCAGTGCGAATGACTGTTGAAGTTGACTTTTTAGAAAATATTAAATGCAACAGCTTACAAGAGAACTCAGAGCTAAAAATATAAAGTATGAATGTTATGTATTAGGTCATGAACTTTGGTTGTTGCTGTTTGATGAAACAAATGAATTAGTTATGTCAGTCAAGAGAACAGAAAAATATTGTGTTAGTGAAAACTGCACCAAGTCAATAAGATTAGGTTTGCATTATGAAGATGAGTTCGATACTGTTGAAGAAGTTTTGGATAGATATTACAAATTGCTAACTTGAAATTTTTTTTGACTGACGGCGCAAAGCGCCAAGATGGGCTCAAAGAGCCCTCCTGACTGCTTTAATTTACTAAAACATATTTCAAACAAAGTTTATATTCTGTTGAAAGTTTTGTATATTCGTTCGAATATTTATACTTAAACTCAACTCCTGTAGTTCCTGGTGTTTCAATGATGCGGATGTTACCTATTTTCATGAATAGTGGAGTTTGACCACAGCATTCGATTTCAGGGTCGAGATAGTCAATGACACATTGTTTCCCTGTTATTCGTGAGATAACATTTTCAAGGTCCTCCTTTGTTAGAATTATTTGGTTCTTGCTTATAAGATTTGTCAAAAGCTTCTTATCGTCTTTGAGTAAAATTGTTTGGTATAACTGAAGAAGGTAATGGTCTACGTTATCTGAAGGATTTGTTTGAACATTTGTGTAAGGGTTGTCGTTGGCTTCTCTTGAAAGAATTTGGTCCAGTGGTGGATACTCTAACTTAACATCTGATGTAGCGTTAGCGTTTGAAGCTGAGTTTAAATTCACGGATTTCAGCTCTGGTTCTTTTTCTTTCAAACACTCTGAACTATAGTTCTTTATGACAATATTGTTTGTCGTTCGTGAGTCAACATTTGATGTTGGTTCAATTGGAACATTAACGGCACCAGCTAAGATGGATTTGCTTCTCATTTCATATAGAATAAAAACCTTTTATATGTATGAAATGAACAATATACTCGACAAGGGTTTGAATGTAAAGCTAACGAATGAAAATATTGTTGAATTCACTGAGACAGGTGCTGTGTATAAAGATGTAGAACTACTGAACAAAAGAGCTAAGGGAAGAAGCAGGAACATGAACAAAGGGTGGAAGCCTATAAAAATTTATGTCAATGATGGCTCAGGAGGTTCAAACATAAAGTATGCAGAAAGTTATAGAGTTTATGCTCTCAAAGGTGAAAAGCCTTCATTTAAGAACAGCTATTCTAACGCATATCCTCAAAAGCTAACGGATGGGGAAGTGGATGATATGAATGACAGCAAAAATATTAACAGAAATGGCGACAGAGATGCATGGAATTTGTTTACCATCAGTCAATTGAAGGTTAAACTTTAAAACAATGTTGGTCGTTCCCATGGAATATTTTTGACTTTAATGGTATTAGTCATGATATGAATCTCAAGGTATGAACGAGGAGAGATGAGAGACTTATATGCTTCCCAAATTTCTTCAAAAGGTAATGTTATACCTGACTGTTTCCAAATGAGTTCAATATCATAACGTGAGAAACCTTGAAAGATAACGAAGTCAGTTATGAGACGTTTTATGTTTAAAGCTAAAAACCTCCATGTTTGCATAAGTATTGCTACAGTTAAGTGGTAATGTCTGACTTTAGTAATGATGTTAGCTAATGGTGAGTCTGGTTTTGACACTAAACCTTTTCCGGCGAAGTCGTCACAAACGAGCAGAGTGTTTGAAGGATATTTTTTGAAGGGGTATTTTGAAAGTTTTGACAGAATGTAGTTTGTAAGTCGTTTCATATCGTAAACTCCTGAGTACTGACGTAAGTGGTGTTTGTCAATAATTCTTTCCATCTCCTCAGAAGTCTTTTGCATTCCTGACTGTATAAATTCAACGATGGCATAATATTTCCTCTTACGTCGAATGTAACGTTGAAGAAATTCAATGAGTTCACTGTCTGGAACTTTAACGACAGAGGCTTGAACTTTTGACATAAATGTTTTCGCTGTTGAGTCCATAGAGTCTGAAGTTGCTGATATAATGATTTGGTCATAGTAAGAGTCATTTCCTAAACGCTCTGTTATGAGTATATGACGAATGAGGTTAAATGTCTTACCTGAACCCATCTTTCCACAATAGAAATACACACCATTTGAACAGAACTCATAGTCCTTACTGAAAGGAAGAATGAGAGAAGAGTTAAGTTTGTCTAGTTTCATTCATGTCTTCATCTACGTCATGTATTAAATGCTTCATTTTATCTCCATTAAAAATGCAAGTCAGAAATATTCAGAACATAGCACCGAGTCTAACTGACAAGAGTATAAAGATATACTATGAACATGTTATGATGAAACCAACCAAAATTCAAGAAAGTCAGTATACTTATGAATATCCAAGACACTGGGTAGAGTATGTAGGAGGTGAGAAAGCTATTGAAATCAGACAGGTTCGAAGTATTCCAGCAGGAAGAACAATATTATTGAAGAACTTTAATGTTTTGAGATATAATGATGAAACAAAGAAGCAAGATAGTTTCCTGTTGCTGTGTATGTGAACTTAGATACAGGAGATGACATGAAAGTTTTTAATACAAAGCTTCAAACGGTAGTGAGAGAACAACTGACTGCGGAAGGACATCCATTACCTTCAGAAGTTACCATAGCATATAATTTTGAAACAAACTCAATAGATTTTAAAGTCATCTCTGCAAAGAAGTCAGGTTTTACATTTAATGAAGCAGATGTATATTCGAATGAAAACTTCAAAGCTATTGCATGGTTAGATAATGACGATTGCTTTAAGAAAATATTTAAATACAGTGACTCAACGATGTCAATAGATGACCTTCGTGGAATGTTACCATCGACGTTTACAGTAGAAGGTTCAGCAGGATTGCTTACAAGATTGTCAATTGGTGTATTTGGTCTCGTGAGAACATTGTTATAAAATCCAGTATAAGTGAATTTGCTGAAGAATCTATATTATGTCTTTCAAACTACATGTATTCGCCGAAGCATTATAGTATAACAAACTTTGTCAGTAAGTTTAACATAAGACTTGTCGAACCTTCTTCAATGAAAGATGTT